CGATATTTACTGATTTATCGAAGATTTTGTATTTCTCTAAATTACCGTTATATGGGATGTGGGCGTGGTTATTGTCCGATTTTAAAAAGTTTCGGCGATTTTTTATGCTGTACCAAGGCCAACAACTGAGCCAAGTTTGGAAGAAGACGGACGGACAGACGGACGGACAGACAGACATGGCTTAATCGATTTCTCTATTCATTCTGAGCTTTTATGTATACATTTGTCTATATCTATCTCGATTCGTTTTGGCTGTTACAAACAACCGTTATGTGAACAAAATTAATATACCCTTGTGCACAAGTGCGCTCGGGTATAAAAATCGTAGTTTGACCGAAGCCGAACATTAAATACCCGGCGCACGTTTTCATTGTAGTTTTCTCAGACTTTTGCGGTAATATATTCAGTTAGCCTTAATGAGGTAAACGTTTCTAAAATTCTATACAACTGTTATTTACTATTATTTTAAGGAATGGTTGTAAGTATCAACTTTGAGTAAATTAGCGTCCGTAAATTTCGCAATATCGAAGTTTCCGCATTTCTCAAATTTACCGTTATATGCAAAAGTGAAAGTAATTTTAGTCCGATTTAAAAAAAAAATCCACATTTGCTTTTTTAAAGTGCACAAGCGCGCTCGGGTATAAGAAGTGCATAAACATGTACATATGTATGTATATACACTGCCGGCAAAAATTTTTACAATATATGCAACAATTTTTATTGTAATATTTTTCCGACAATTTTTCATAACAATTCAACAAAAAAAAAACAATTTCAAATATTAATGGGATTTGTGACTAATTTCGAGCTGATTAAAAAAAGTTGAAAATTTGCTGAATTTTCGCGAGTTTTGCACAAAGTTTGGAAATTATATTTTTATGTTTTTTTTTTTGTTGTGGTATGAACCATATTGTTATGAAAAGTGGTCGGAAAAATACTACAATAAAATTTATTGTGTATATTGTAAAAAAGCAGCTGTGCCAATTCTTTTTGTCGACAGTGTATCTGTGAACATTTGACAAAACCACTATCTTTCACGGACATAGAAAATAGCATATGTCGGCAAAGCTCTTTTACCGTCAGGGCAATCAATTTTATCTAAATGGAAACATGCAGTTGTTGCAAACAGAAACATTTTTAAAGGTTGTGAATAGCGATAAAATAATTCAACATTTCTTACAAATTGCAACGTTTTTCTCTTTGACGGTAAAATATGTTTTGTCGACATATGCTATTTTGTAAATACGCCCCATTTCATACCTGACGCGGTGCACGCACTTTCGCTCATAAATGGCTGTTTAATACCTGTCCATAAAAAACACCATGTACATACATATGTAGCTTTGCAACAAAGTATAAACATAGATAATACATACATACATCATTTTTTGCACACAAAATAGCAAAGCAAAAATGCTTGCCAAAAATTTCTGTTTGATAAGAAGTGAAGATAAGACACAAGCAAGTAATAATGCACGAGGCAAAATTGGGCAAAATTGGTTCCTGGCTGAGCAAATCGAGTGAATGTACCTATTGGTAAAATTAGGCTTCGCTTCCACTCTGATTTCAAGCTTATGGCCTTATTCAGAAAAATTTAAATAGATTTAAAAAGCCTTATAAAGTGACATTTTCATACAAATTTTCGATTTATAAAACAGTTAAAGTCTTCTATAATAGAACGACATTTTATGTATTGTCCAACGTTGTTTTCCATCTCAAGCGGTATAGTGATAAACTACAAAAAAATGCAAAACAGAGCAATGCAATTCATTTTGAATAAACGTTACGATGCACCCACACGATAGATGATCGCCGTTATGAATTTGCTGAGTGTAAAGCAACAAGTTTTTTTTAAATGAAATTTGTATACATAGGATTCGAGAATCCCCCACAGCATAGCCTGAGCGACAATCACAACTCTGGACCGAACCAAAGCAGTTATACCAGAAGTGAAGAAGCGGCTTTAAAATAAGTCCTTTCCAACCGCACCACAGTGGACGATTTGTGAGTGTGGATGGACAATATCGTTAATCTCTCGATAGGAATAAGATAAAAATATGGGTTCGAAAGCTGACATAACGCTCTACAAGGCCGAAATAGTGCCACTATATAATCATTATATAAAAACCCCAAAAAAAAATTTGTTGAAAAATCTACCTTGAAAAAAAAACAATTAATACTTTGCTGGCTAGCTCCATCGAAAAAATTTTGGTTTTTTGGTTTTATGGACTTTTCCTGTAGATTTTCGACCGAGGAACTGAAATTTATTGTCAAAAGTTGACTAAATTTTAAACTTTTTAATCAAAGTTCAAATTTTAAGTTGTTAAAAAATTGCGTTGATTTTCGGCAATTTTATTTAACGCATTTCCTTCCATAAAAAGTACATATATTAGTATATGAAAAAAGCGACAAAGTCAGAAAAAAATTATCATAAATCAACGCGACTTTTCAGCAACTTAAAACTCGCACTTCATTTTACTAGAATTTAATGGGCTATAAATCTGCATACTCAAAAGAAAATGTTTAATTTAGATGAAACTATGCAATTTAAAACGTGAGCATTTAAAGGAATTTTTAGTCAACTTTTGACAACAATTTTGAATTCCTCGGTTGAAAATCTACAAGAAAAGTCCATAAAACAAACATCCAAAATTTTTTTGTTGGACCTAGCCAGCAAAGTATTCATTTTTTTTTTTCGAAAATTCATTTTTCAATGAAATTTCTTGGGGGTTAAATATATGTCAACTTTCGAATCCATATTTTTCCATATTTTTGTCTTATTCTTATCGAGCGATTCCATCCAGTGTCCATCGACACTCCAAAATCGTACACTGTGCGCATTAGCGGTGCGGCTTTGGAACTCGTGCTTACAGACCGACCGGGGCTGCCCAACATGTGAGGCTAGACGCTGGGCTTGCTCGAAATATCGTGCATTCCGACTTCAATGTAGTAAATCATGAAAATTTATCCGTCATATTGGGTGCGCCATATTAAAATTTTTAAAATTAATACCAAATGCGTAATTAGAGAGCCCAAAAACCATCGAGTGAGAAATTTCAAAAGAATCAGAGAAAACTTTGAAAAATCATGCGCCATTTGAAAATTTTAAAAATAACGCTGGATTCGTAATTAGCAACCACAAAAGCCCCCGAGTAGCCAATTGGAAGTGAATCCAGTGAACTTTCAAAAATGAGCCGCCGTTTTGAATTTTGGGAAACGCCACTGCGCATTAAATAGTATTTATTTTTATTAAAATTTTAAGACCTTGCCCGAGTTTTTATATCTAAACCAGAGGACTTCCGCTGACAAAGAATTGTATCTTTTAAGAAATAATACTGTAAAAAATTATTAAACGAAATATAGTTTATGCTTTTATATATTGCTTAAGTTAATTTTAAAAAATCATTTTGAAAACTTACTTTTTATGAAATGTTGCTATTCCAGCTATGCATGCTTATTGCGAATCATTTAACTGTAAATAAAAAAAAATAAAAAAACATATTGTTAGTCATTAAGTTTACTTAAGATACATGTTGTAATTGTGAGCTATAAAAACTCAAGATTGTACTGAATAAAGCATTCATGCTTTAGGTATAAAAACAAATACCCCTAACAAATTAGCTTTTGTCGTTACTATAGCTACAAACGTCGTAGTTCACCCAATTTCTAAAATTTTTGTCCATCCGATCTACTCACATGACATACGCTTTATGGCGATAAGAAAAAAAAACATCGATAAGCAGCATTGAAACATGTGTCCACTTATGAACTCTCACAAGCAAGTAATTGTATATTTGTCAGTATTTAGAGAGGAAAGTATTGAATTTCATTGCTGTAATCATATACGGATACACAGATTTGGGCATTTGACTTAAGTGGCTTCAAAAAAAAATATATATATATACATATGCATATACATATGTACACATATGAGCATCGATTACTGAGTGAAAAACATTGTGAATGTAAGTGATAGGCTTAAGTACTTAATATGAATTTCCGTAGTAGAAGCCACAAGATCGTGAGAAAAAATTGCTTGTATGCATATTTTGCCTCTTGAAAGTGATATATGTATGTAGAAATGTATGTAGAAAATATAAAGAATGCTCAGGTCTTTGACTGGAACGAATTCATAGGTCCATATTTATAGATTACTGATTCGGAGAAAATTTCCAAAATGGAATCGCATGCCGATAAGGGACTCATAAAGATCGAGCATTTGAGATCGGTTAATAGAAATTATCATATTTCTATTATTTTCAAAAAAAAAATATCGTTTTCGAGTTATGAGGATCTTTTAGGAGATGATCCACAAAAATATTTTTGTGTTTTCTATTTTAAGAGAACATGATTGGTGCCTATTGGTCGCTTGTACCTTTGCGACTAATATCGTACTCATTTCGGAGAAATCACATTTTTTCCAAGGGTATGTCTTGAGGTTCCTCGCAGTTTTCAAGTGATGGTTAGATTGTCCTACCAAAGGCAACTCTGAGAACACTTAAGGTGGTATTAGGTAAAACTTAGTTACGCGCGAAGCTATATCTGGCATGGCCTCCATAATTAGCTTCTTCCACGGATCCGGAAATATAGGTAGAAGAAGAAAGAATTTAACTTGAGGCAACTACATCGGACCTTTGTTCGTTTTAGAAAGAATTTCAATTGGAAAAGAGACCAACCAAGTGTCTGACAAAGATATCGAATATGGAATAATTGGCTTGGCGTTGTTTGATTACTAACACCAACGCAGAGACAACTGGTTTGAAGTTGAATGCCATGTCGCTGCTGCAACGAAATACGCGTATGAAACATACAAAGTCAACTTGCAGCCAAAAGCTACGCCAGTGACAGTTGAGTGAGACCGGCAGAAGAGGAAGGAGGAAATGTGTTTATTCAAAAGGAAAGAAACTAGAGGTAGAAGGATGTGTTCAGTGCGAAGTACTTGAAATTTGCCTGCACGCAGCGAATATCCGATTATAAAATTGTAAATTGACGCGTTTGATAAAGAAAAACCCATACCAATGCACACTGGTTATTTGACCAATTTTCGTAGCAAAAAGTAATTATGACCAGACAAGCAGAATATTTAACTAGTAATTTTTAGCAAAAAAAAAACCGACTTCAACTCCCATATAAAAAAAAATATATATATATATCTCATGATCCACTGATCGGATCTCAACCAGATTAGTATGGGACAACCTCTGAGATAAAAAAAAAAAAAAAAAAATATTCCGACGAACTGATAACCTCCTCCTTTTTTGGAAGTCGGTTAAAAACACATGAATTTTATTCGCATGCATATAATATCCCTCATTTTTGCAAAAAAAAAAAAAAGAAAACGAAATCTTAACCCTTAACGAACGTTGGTTCTCAAGGGGTCACTTTGTAATTTGTAACTTTATTGAAAAAGTTTGAAAGCAGATTTTTTTTTTAATATTCACATAAAAAAAATTTAAAAATATTGCCAAATTATATTAGTTTTAAATAGAAATTGAATGGATAGTATTTCCTAATTTGTCTGCTGATAAGTTAAAGAAGCAGCCTTTGAGCAACAAAATTTTAAACAGCCTTCTATTTGCTCTCTTTATAAAATTCTCCCCTCCAAATAGTAAATAGTTTACTATTGACAATATCAATAATACCTAAAGAAGCAGAAATCGCAAAAAATTGGAAAAAAATTAACGAATTAAACTCAAAGCTATGCATTTTACACGTTTTTGATAGTTTTAACACGGCGCTATACGGCCAACATTTTAAAAGCGTTATAAATTTTAATTTTTAACAAAAAAAAGTTTATGTGGGGTCATTCCAGCGAAGACGACACCTCAGTTAAAAAAATAAATTACATAAATTGTGTTTAAATCTAAAAAGACAGTAAAGCAGGTAGAATAATTCTTTAGAAATAGATTTTCAACGATTTATTTTTCACTATTTTCTCTATTGTTATTATTGCATATATAATATGCTGCAATATTGTTGCACCCAGTTTTCAAGGCATTTCCAGGTACTAACGGCAACAATGCAAAGAATAATTATCCAAAAAGGAAGAACATCTCATGAACTTTAAAATGGTGCTAAATTATTAGAAAAACACTTACAATTTATTGTGAGAAGTTATAGGAGAAAAAAATGCTAATTGGATGTCCCACCCGTCAGAGCAAAATATGTATTTTTTAATCATTAACTTTAATATGATTATTCGAAAATAGCTAGAAAACAGAATACAAAATAGATTCCAATATTTCGATCACAGACAACCACTTGGACTACTTGCTAAGCAAATTGTCGTTCGTTTTTTACAGAAACAAGACACCGTTATTTTATTCGAAGTATTTTTATCAAATACCAGGGATAAAAAGTTTATTTTTGGAAGAAAAAAATGCATTGTAACTTCGATAAAACATAGAGTAAAATTTTTGGCGTAACTATAAGAATTGCATCTACAATATTTTACCAGGTGATGCGTTGTGGCGTGTAAAACATCTTTGCATCAAAAAGTAAATTTCGAAAAAAGGCATATGATACGATAATCAACCCCTTTGATGTGATGAGCAAGTAGGCAAATAACGCGATTTATTTATCTTACTAATATTATCTTACTAATATTATAAATGTGAAAGTTTGTATGTTTGGATGTTTGGGAAATCATCACGCGGAAACGACTGAACGGATTTGCATTAAATTTTGTACGCAGATAGCTTATGGGCCAGATTGGTTAATAGGATATTTTTTTAAGAGTTGCCACCTGTTAAAAAAGTTTCATTAAATTAATACGCGGAAACGACTGAATGGATTTGCATGAAATTTTGCAAGCAAATAGCTTATAACCTACTGTAGAAAATAGGCTAATTTTTTGGAATAGTTGCAACCTATTTAAAAAGTTTAATTAAATTAATACGCGGAAACGACTAAAGGGATTTGCATGAAATTTTGCACACAGATAGATTATGACCTAGGTTAGAAAGTAGGCTACTTTTTTTAAGAGTTGCCACCTGTTATAAATGTTTAATTTAATTAATACGCGGAAATGAGTGAACTGATTTGCATGGAAGTTTTCACACAGATAGCTAGGTTGAAAAATAGGCTACTTTTTTTAAGAGTTACCACTTGCTAAAAAAGTTTAATTAGATTAATACGCGGAAAAGTCTGAACGGATTTGCATTAAATTTTGCAAGCAGATAGCTTATGACCTACAGTGGAAAATAGGCAAATTTTTTGGAAGAGTTGCCACCTGTTAAAAAAGTTTTAATTAAATTAATACGCGGAAATGAGTGAACAGATTTGCATGACATTTCGCACAGAGATAGCTTATGACCTATGTTGGAAAATAGGCTACTATTTTAAGAGCTATCACGTATTATGAAAGTTTAATTAAATTAATACGCGTAAATGACAGAACTGATTTGCATGAAAGTTTGCACACAGATAGCTTATGACCTAGACTGGAAAATAGGCTACTTTTTTAAGAATTGCCACCTGTTTGAAAATGAAATTTTGCTCAAAGATGGTTTATGACCTGGATTGAAAAACAGGCTACTTCCTTAACCGGTTTTCCGATCAGAACGAAATTTAGTACACTTATTACGGATTTCGGAAGGATGGTCTTAGACTGAAAGTAAGTCCGATAACTCAAGGCCCCTCCCATACAAATTAGAATTTTCATATTACATACATATCTCTGGAAGTATTTGTGGGAGAGAACTGAAACTTGGTATAGTGATATCTATGTGAAATCAATGATGGCATTAATCGATTGATGTTTTAATCAGTTAGTTAATTCGATTAAATTCAATCTGATTACAGTTAATTATGATTAATTTTAACCTGACTGAACAGTTAATCGTGACCGCGATTAAAAAATTAATTTTTAATCATTAACTCTTAATTTGATCAAGTAGGTTTGGTGATTAATTAAGTTATGCTGGAATTTCCCTGTGCACACAAAGCAAGTTAATCCGGTATGGCTAAGTCGGGTTTCCTCATCCATCTAAGCAATTTCGTGTGCATTTTCATTAAGATATATACCAACAAACGTTTTACAAACTAGGTTTGTAAAAGTTCCCAGTTTATGTATTACTAATAACAATAATTATAATTTTTTTATATTATGTGCTTTTTATAAGCGTAAAACACAAAATAATTACTATAACTGGTGTTTGGTTTCAAACTCGGACAAACTAGACAAATTAATCAGATTTTATTTTTAATTGGATTAACGATTAATGTTTTAAATTAATTAAACGTAATCGCAGCCAGCGATTAACGATTCAAAAAATGTTATCATTAATCGTACAGTTGATAACGACTAATTAACTTTAATCGTCAAACGCGATTAACATTTTAATCGTTAATCAGATTAACAGTTTTCCAACACTGTGTGAAATCATGTTCATATTCACGGAGAAAAATGGACGTTTTTGGAAAAGAGGCGTAGCACCTCCAATACTGACTGAAAGTTTCATATTGCATATC